AAGACGCGAATCCTTCAAATAGACATTTTAACTAGCATCCTTCGAACCTCTACCTCCATCAGGAAAAAGCCAGACCTCATATACCACTCCATACATTCACCCCGAAGAAAGAAGCCCGAGTCGAGGAGACAACGGTTACCTCTTTACGACCAACGTCCCACGGCTCCAAATTTCTTAAAAACACCATTAGAGTCAATCCTAACTTTCATAAACTAACGCACCATTAGCAGAATTTAATTAAACCTTTGCCTTTCCTTGACAGACCTCTACCTTATCCCTATTTCCATGCATACCCTCAGGAACAAGGGACCCGAATCGAAGGGACGATGGTTACTCTTTTATAACCAGCGTTCCAAGATTCGCGGACACCTCGACCTCCGAAACTAACCCCCCGAGTCAACCCCCATGAAAAGATTAGAATTTCCCAAACCTAAAAACAAATTAACAATTTGTTTAAACTTCCACTTCCACCTACCAGTTCCGAACCTCATGCACATCCCTCCAACGAACACTACGCCAATAGGGAAAAAAACACACCCACCACTTAGGCATCTCGACAACCAATAACAACAACAGACGAACATATGAAATACACGACACCAAGAAGACAGGACAGTACAAACATCAAAACGACACAACCGACACCATGACAGAACGCATATCGCCAACTATCGCCAAGACATCTTGTAAATTCTTGTAAATATATTTCGTAATTAAATTATATTTTAAAACTGCAAAAAATAGTTTACGTTCTTAAAACGACGTAAACCTTCGCCTGAATCCTTCCTACAACCAAGAAGAAGATTCGAACGAAACACCCAGAATTTTCCTTTCTGCAATCATCGAACACGTACACTTGTTTTAAGAATAAAATTGGTATTAACTCAAAATTAAGAAAGAACTGTAATCGATATATTCACTCGTATTCATCGTTTCGCTGAAATTACTATAATCTGTGCACGTTATAGTTAGGTACCCATTAAAGATCGGTAGTTCTAGTGTTAAAAGGGAGTTGTTTATTAGGCAAATTAGCAAAAAGTCCTACAGTTAGAGGTATCGTCGCCTTTTAACTCATTGTCAACCCAGTTCTCCAGCACAGAAGTAAATATAGGCAATGATAAACCTGACTCCGTCTATACTCGTCTCTCTAATCCACGAGAATCCAGTATTTTCCTCCGAATGGCCATAATATTTTATTTAAATAAACTTGTTTTATTATTAACACTAGAACTACCAACCCAGTGAAAATGACTGGTCCCAGAATTTTCCTTTTCGCAATCATCGAACACGTACACCTGCTTTGAGAATAAAATTGGTATCAACTC